TAGGACGAGCCTCGTGCAGCGGCGCCAGAGGGACAGTGCGGCACTGCTGGGGGTCACCACACGTGCCTGATGTTGGTGTGTGGGACCAATCGCATCACGCCAGCAATGCATACTAAATTTAAACAGTCAGTTCATTCTTAAAGTGATCTCAATCGAATTGCTGTTCCTTAGCAGCATGTGCAATGGTGTCAATGCACCGTGCACGAGAACAGCACTATACCCAGATCGGGTCATTCGATTCCATCCCGCTCCCATCGATCATAGCCAGTTTGCACGAAGTTCGTCCCAGCGGCGCCCTTGTTCACTGGGCGGCCGTCCGCGCGGGGGGGGGGGGGCATCCATCCGGCTCCACCCCAGCCATATTTCCATTTGATTGCTCGTGCCTCCCAAACCGTTTTGCACGCAGACTGAGACGACTGCGAACCGCACATCCAGGCCGCTCCCAGCAAACCACGAATTAGGGACTACGTGCTCGTGCTTCTTTGCTCGACTACACCCATGAAAGCGGGCACACAACTACCCTTATCACTAATGCCTGCATGGGACGGGGAATGTCATCCCTGTCTGCAGGTGGTCACGGCTTCTTGGTTGGCAGATGGTCCTGGTCTCCTGGTCTGCAGATGGTTCTCATTTCCTGGTCAGCCATTGGCCATGGTCTCCTGGTCTGCGGACCGTCCTCGTCTGTGGATGGTCTCGGCCTGCAGATGGTCCTCATTTCCTGGTCAGCCATTGGCCATGGTCTCCTGGTCTGCGGACCGTCCTCGTCTGTGGATGGTCTCGGTCTGTGGATGGTCCTCATTTCCTGGTCAGCCATTGGCCATGGTCTCCTGGTCTGCGGACCGTCCTCGTCTGTGGATGGTCTCGGTCTGTGGATGGTCCTGGTCTCCTGGTCAGCCATCGGCCATGGTCTCCTGGTCTGCGGACCGTCCTCGTCTGTGGATGGTCTCGGTCTGTGGATGGTCCTGGTCTCCTGGTTTAACACGCGCCCGGGCGGCCGGTTGGATACCCTTCGCTCGGGAGTGGAGGTGGGGGGGGGGGGGGGGGGGTGGGGGTCAATTTGACCCCGCTGAGATCTCGGAAATAAGAGAGCTAGAAATACCAAATTTACAGAAAGTGCTGATCTGTACGTGAACTCTATTAGGTCAAAGTTTGAGGTTGCTGGGTCATGACCTTCGGGTCAGATAAGGTCAAACAAGGTAAAATTCCAGATTGGTCTCCAAAGAGCCCCCTAACCTAGGCACCTGCTCTAAGATTAATGTCACATGGTCAGTTAAGGTCAGTGACCTTGTTTGACCTCTTAACACGCGCCCGGGTGGCCGGTTGGATACCGTTCACTCTGGCGGAGGGGGTCAATTTGACCCCCCTGAGATCTCGGGAACTAAGAGCTAGAGACACCAAATTCACAGGGTGTATTGACCTGTACGTGAACTCGCTTAGGTCAATGTTTGAAGTTCCTAGGTCTTGACTTTCGGGTCAAATAAGGCGAATAAGGTCACATTCCAGATTGGTTCCCAAAGGACCCTAGAACCTAGGTAACCGTTCTAAACAAATTGTCACACGCTCAGTTAAGGTCAGTGACCTTGTTTGACCTTTTTAAGGTAAGGATGACCAAAATGATATAAGACTGTTTTGAGTTTTGCGTTTGGATAAGCGACAAAGATTACGCCTGGGAGTGCGTTCCTAACAACAAAATGTTGAACTGGGTCATTTTAGGCCAGTGACCTATTCTGCTCCATAAGAAGTCCACGAAAGGTGTATGATGCGGTTCCTGCTATCAATATATTTGATATAAGCACCGAAAACCAGCCCATACAAGAAGCCCGAGAGTACTAAAGCAGGTTAGCTTGGACCTTGGCCTGACCTCCATTCCTGACCCTTGGTCAATGCTATTTGTTTATTCAATTGTTGTGTTACCCATGGAAGTATCTCAGAGATGCCTGGCCTCGTCAACACTTCGTTGTTTGATCGATTTGAGCGATTCCCTAGAACGTGCCTCGCTGAAACCATGGCCTGACTTTGACCTGCCATAAGTCAGCGATCTTACAAGGTATATCTATTTTTTATGTCGGACGATCCGCTATTCAATTGTCTACAGCTGTTCGAAATTTGGCACGACTACACCACGCCGTTCAGAAACCATTTTGGGAAAACCTTCGGTGATCAATTTGACCCCCACCCGAGCGTTTGTTTAGGATGATTCTGTTCTCCTGCGTCTTGGTCTGTAATTGGTCCTAGTCTCCCGGTGTGCAGGTGGTCCAGCCTCCTGGTCTGCGGATGGCCCTGGTCTCCCGGTCTGCAGATGCCGTAAACCAGTGGTGCCGCTTCCAGTAATGTACAGGCAATCACGACCCAGGTGGTGACCTCCAGAATTACAAAAACACCGACGTGCAACAAAACCAGAAATTCTTATATTATAATACGGACAAAGATGGAAGCTGGCCATACTGGGTTTAGCAAAGACAACAAACAATATTATCTGGTAAATGAAGATATATCCTGTCAGAAGGTCACACGGTTCTCAGTGACCTTGCAACAATTGAGTCGGACGATGTCCATAAAGCAGAACACCCAAAGAACAACTGATTGAAAGCACGAGAGACGCATTCAGGTCGGTGCAAGTACTGCTCACGGCGATTCACAGATGCTAAGGTCCTCGTTGAGACCCCGAGCAGTTTGCGATCACCATAAAGCACGATTCAGTTCACTTTTGGTCCAAGTCGTCAGATCCACCCTCCTCGCGAAGTCCGAGATCTCAACGGTACATGGCTGTCAAAGACAGATAGTTTATAGAACCTACCAACGTTGGGTGTCATGTCCCAGTATCACACATATGTACGTGACGCTGGAACTGAAAGCTTAATTTAGGTATCCGACACCAGTTCTGAGCAAACCAGTCAAGTGCACACATGGCCGTTTGTAATATATGCCACTGACCTTTCGTGTCGACACACACTCGCAAACCGGCCTATCTCTGTAGGACGTTCAGAAATGACCACATCTAACGACGACAAGCAGACAAAGACACACCCAAACACAGAACCATCAGCATCAACAATGATTGCCTAATCAACGACCAGCTCCTCCTCCTCAGATGACTCATCCTCCCTTCCGTCCTCAACATCTAACCCCTCGTCCCTGACCTCTTCCCCCTCGTCTTTGATCTCTGTCCCCTCGTCCTTGATCTCTTCCCTCAGGGCACTAGTACCGCAGCTCTGCCCCGTCGCCGGTCGGTCTCGCTGGCTGCCGGCAGTCCCCAGCCCTGCGGGTTTCCCATCCTCTGCCTGCGCCGCGGCAGCGCTCTCGGTCGTGGCCTCCGGCTCGGCCGTGCCTCGGCTGGGCCCGCTGTGGGCGGTGGCCGTGTGCTGGCGCAGCCCACGGGCCAGCCGGAACGAGCGCCGGCACACGGGACAGCCGTGCCGCCGGCGGCCGCCCTCCTCGTGCTCCTCCTGGTGCAGCCGCAGGTTGTAGCGGCGCGTGAACGACTTGGGACAGTGAGCGCACGTGAAGCGGCGGCCGTCGCCGTGCGTGCTCTCGTGCAGCCGCAGGTAGGAGAGGCGGCGAAACGTCTTGCCGCACGCTGCGCAGGCGAACTGGCGGCCTTCCGCGTGCGTCTCAAGGTGCTTCTGCAGGCTGGAGCGCGTCTTGAAGCAGAAGTGGCAGACGCCGCACTGGTGCGGCCGCTCTGTGTTGTGCGACACCATGTGCCGGTTCAGGTCGTACTTCTGCTTGAACTTGAGGTGGCAGGCGGGGCAGTCGAACTCGCGCTCCTCGCTGTGACGCTTCCAGTGCGTCTTCATGGCGCTCGACTGTGTGAAGCGCTTCTGACAGACAGGACACGGGTATGGTCGCTCACCAGTGTGCCGACGCATGTGCGTACGCAGCGTGTTGTCGGTGGTGAAGCGCTGCTCGCAGACGGCGCACCGGTACGGCTTCTCGCCCGTGTGGATGCGCCGATGCTGGCGCAAGTGCTCGGGCCGCTTGAAGTCCTTGCCGCAAAAATCACAGACGAAGCGGCCGCGCGCGTCGTGAGTAAGCCGATGCACGTACAGCGTGGCAGCCACTTTGAAGCACTTCACGCAGTGCGGACACTTGTACGGTCGCAGGCTTGAGTGTGTGCGCACATGCCGGTTGAAGTTGCTCTTCTCCTTAAAGGCACGCTGACAGATCTCGCACACAAAGTCTTTCACCTGTTTGTGTATGAACGAGTGCGCATGCAGCTGACAGCGTTTCTTGAACAGTTTGCCGCACTCAGCGCACCCATAGGTGACACCGCACTTGTGATTTTCCAGCATTTTCTTGAGAACGAACCGACGATCGCACTTGCTGCACTGCAGCGGCTTGTCCTGTTCACGGATGCGGCGGCGACCGACCTTGGTTCTCGCTGCCGCTCGCCTCTGGTCGGCGAGCTGCGCCTGCCCGGGTCCGACCGCCGGTGCCGCAGCAGCGCCCAGCTCGGGCCTCGCGTGGCTAACAGGCGCCGGCCGCGTCCCGTCCAGCGCGACGAGCCCGGTCTGCAGGAGGTCCGGCGACGGCGGCTCCAGCGCGATGTACAGCCGGCCCTCGTCGTCGTCCTCGGCGTCGCTGCCGCCGCCGGGCCGCGCTGCGCTCGCCTCCGACGCGTCGGGCTCCTCGCAGCCGTACAGCGTCCGGTTGGCCGTCAGGAAGACGCGGCCGATGTCGACGTCGACGAGCAGCGGCGAGTGGGCCGCTGAGGCCTTGCCCGGCGCGGCCAACGCCTCCTTCTCGCCGTCCGGATGTGGAGCGGCCCCGGCGGCGGCGGGGCTGTCGTCGTGGCGTTCCGGTCGCGCTCCGCTCGCCGCGGCGGCTATCGAATGCGACCGGCAGTCGGTCATCCACCCCACGGCGTTGTTGTTAACGTCGACGTAGATCGGGTCAGCCGCCACAGTGGTCACGTGATGGACCGCGGTCATGGCGTCCGCCGCACCCGCTGACTCCATGTTGTCGTCACTACCCACAGACACGCGCACGGTATCCGGTGACTGGGGAGGAGATCGAGAGCGTTAGAGGCGCGCATTAATACGCCGCACCCGCTGACTCCATGTTGTCGTCACCACCCACAGACACGCGCACGGTATCCGGTGACTGGGGAGGAGATCGAGAGCGTTAGAGGCGCGCATTAATACGCCGCACCCGCTGACTCCATGTTGTCGTCACCACCCACAGACACACGCACGGTGTCCGGTGACTGGGGAGGAGATCGAGAGCATTAGAGGCGCCCATTAACAGCACGGTGTCCAGTGAATAGGGAGGAGATCGAGAGCATTAGAGGCGCGCATTAACAACATTGACAAGAATCCAAACTCGCGGATGACAGAACTTCTTGACGTCGGTTACATGCACGACAAAAACAACGAGGGCATAACTAAGCCCCATCCTGCTTCACAACTCAAAAGGGAATGTCCCACCTATGGAGCATATTTCAAAAGCATGCTCTGGTGAAACCTCAGAACCAGCCACGCCTAATAAAATCCCCGGGTAAAAGCTTTCTGTTCGCTTATCTTTTTGCCAAAACAAAGTGTATCAAACTATCGTAGCATTTAATACACAAACCTTTTGACAACTAAGAGTACTGTAAACATCACAGAATACACACGTTGTCAAACGCAAGGGAACTGAGATGCATTGCTTTCAAAGTGGTGAACAGGGAATCCGATGAGGTACCTCCGCAGGAGCGACTTCTTCAAAACGAAATTCAGAACGATGTTGAAGGATTTCGAGAAAACTAGTATTTCTAATCCAATGGTACGTGTCTGATCTAACATTAAGTGAAAAGTACGAGAATGTGGCATTGTTTTTCTACGTTGTTTTGTGTATAACTAATTCACGCGACGAGTATAGGCAGTTTACAAATACGATTTCCTTCATGTGCAAACATCTCTCGGAGCGCCTTTTATATTTACGTGGAGCAGCAAAAAAAAAAAAAAATGAATGCAAGCAGCCATCCAGGTGGTGTCGTTGAGTGCTAGCTAATTTAAGCTAATTTAAAAACTGTTTTGTTTTACCACATGGGTGTCCTGTACATCAACACTTGTCACCGCACTTACCTGACGAAAAGTTGGAAGGATAACTTTGGTTGAAAGAATGGAATCACATCAATACCACAACATAGTGAAATATGAACTAGATTAGAAACATAAAATATAAATAAAGGTGAATGGCCAAGTCCAGAACTTAGACATACATACAGGGGTCCGGAAGTCAAGTCGGGAGCATAGCTTAATTTCAACAATGCTTCTAAGGCCATGGCTTTGCCACAGGGTGTACCCAACGTAACGAGGCCGTGCGTAACAGGTAAAACCGGCCGTCCAGCGTCTCCTGAAATCCGTCTCCAGTGCGCCCTAAAGTCCGCCCAGTGTCTCCTACCGCAGTGTCTCTGTCCCTGTGACTAAGTGGAACTTGGACAGAAGTGAGTTAGCATCGCGAATCCATTGCTCAAGGACGCATATTGCGCGGTAAAAGGGATATTCTTGGGATAACTTGGCGCATCTTTGCTCCTCTCACATCTGCATTACCTGCTGCAGTGGAACAAGTTAGCACCGTATTTTAGTCACAATATGCTGACGTGCTGATGAAAGTCACCTGAAGGGTGCCAAAATAGCTACACTGACAGAAGACCAAAATAGCTACACTGACAGAAGACCAAAATAGCTACACTGACAGAAGACCAAAATAGCTACACTGACAGAAGACCAAAATAGCTACACTGACAGAAGACCAAAATAGCTACACTGACAGAAGAATGTTGTGTAAAGCTGACGTTATAATCACGCAGTTTTGTTAGCGGAGCTACAGCTGCAGAACACAGTCGGAAGAACGACGTCAGATGCATGTGATTGCATCCATAGCCAATACGATGGTTTTATGCTGCAGTTTAGCGCTGGCGCATCTGCAGTCATAATGATGGGTGTTGCATCATTTACGATATGATGGCCCAACAGCACTCTCCGACTTACGGGAGAATCATTGAAAAGCGCGTTACCGGAATGCTGTGCTTGCATATTTGCGGGCTTATTGTCGCGTTATAAATGAACAAGAAGACAAGGTTTATTTCCTGTGCACAATTTCGGGTTTGCTTGTAGACCGTCAACAGTGTCCGCTAAGAAATATTTGGTTTTTGGAGACAGAAGAGGACGATGTTGACGATTCTATTCGGGAGCTGAAGTCATATAAGGGAGCCAAACCACCATGCAGCATCATATGGCACCTCGGTACGATGGTGAGGTGATCAGAGCTGTATCAAAGGCTCACAACGCAGCTTTTCAGCAGAACAAGGAACCATGTGTCAAGAAATTCGGAAAACAACAGCCTTCATGCAACGAGAACCGAGACTACCTAACTCCAACAGCAAATAATTCCACCCACAAGTGACCAGATGATAAACATCAGCTAATGTCATCTACTGAACCATAAGGACCTGGTCCCCTTTCGCACGAAATCAGGTTCTACCCAGTACTGGATGTGCAGTCGAGGCTTTTGCTCAGACGATATCTAACAAAAAAGACCCAGCCAAAATATGGTTTGGAACAGCGCGCTCGCTGATGTCAGCTAGAGCACCTTTACCTAGCATGTCTAGATCCCGGGCTTCTGCCATACGTGTATTGCACTAGTGCACACGCATAGCCACATTCACCGGGGAAAATACAACGCTACCGTAGCCATGGATACGGCTTACCATTAGAAGATCGAACATCTTTTATCTAACGAAATCTATCACTTACTGGACAAGCTCCCAATCAAAAGTTTAAGTGCAGAGTTTGATCTATCCTAAGGTCCCCCACCCAAAAAAAAACAGACATCGGTCCGAAGAAAGTGAAGACTTCATCACGGCCCGCGATAAAGCCGGACGGCCGCATGGGGCGCATTTTATGGTCATGTGAAAGCGTGGAACAGCAACGACGTCGATTGTTTTCATTCTGTATACTTCTATTCAGACTTGTCCTCTGCTATCATTCTCTACTCCACCAGCTATTAAAGCGATTGTCATCTGGCATGGCAACAGTTCTGATCGTTTTCACGACTCCATATTTTCTCAAACTTCTGGTACAACTAGCCCAAAAATCGCATTCTGGCTGAAACTTTGAAAGCTCCGGTGAGAAAGACTAAAAACTATCGTGAAGTTTCGGGACGAAGGTCGCACAGGACGGCAGCCCTGTTGTTTTGTTAGGGTAATGAAATGATATAGCCTATAAAAATGCAAATAAAAACAAACGGCCATATTCAAATGCTTCAAATAAAACCCATGTTACGACTCGTTCAAACAACTACGCAAACACCATACTAGCTGGTTCAGGACTGGGAAGTTTAGCACAAACGAAGCACCAATAAAACATTTTTTTTTTGAAATCCTGTCCCGTCCGAGTTGGATACATATCCTGCCGTCGATTCTCGGCTACAACGGTGCGGCAAACACCACGCGAGAAAAGGTGGAGGGACAGACAGTTGTCAAAAACAAAGGAAAGGCACAGCGTGGACATAGCGCGGTTCAGTTCCGGCCATCGCATCTGTGATGGCAAATGCGTACAGAGTAACCTTGCCTGACGCGGCTAGGCGTTAGGCGAGATTGTATTGTACATACATCCAATATATGTGGCTGTATATGTATCCAAAGGACTGCTTGCTGTGGGCGCCAGCGGAACGACTTCTCGGACTTAATGGAATGGAAACGTGAAGAGCTGGGCTCTGCACGGATTAGGTAAATTAGAGCTTAGTTGATGCACAGCGCATTGATCAGATACGTCGAGGCATCTGGGCCGCTTCAGCGTGTTTATTTCATGCATGCCATTATAATTCAAGAACGGCGGCCGTGGCACCACGTGAGCACTGCTCTGCGCAAAATGCGCGCGGGTTCCGTGGCGGAGCGGAAGGATGCTTGGCACGCGATACTTTGGTAACGGATAGGATCCTCGGGCAGGCTCGTCGTCGCGCCCAACTGTCGGAGAAAAGCCCTGCTGCCAACTGGCCGGACGTGGTCGACTTACCCAGTGCGGCCGTTTCGGATTTTTACCGACTGACAAAGAAGGCTCTGCTGGCAACTGACCAAACCAGGCCAACCTGACCCGTGCGGCCGCGCCGCGAAACTTTTGCAGCCCTATCCGGTAAAAACGCCGTGGGCAAAATCATCCGATGGACTGTACCGGCTGACTGGGTGGTGTGATCAGGGAACACGCGGCACGCTCTGCTTGGCATGCGCCTTCAACATAACACCATCCATGAAAATAATTCGATATAACATTTGCGTTATCTGGGGAGTGTAAAGCAGGTGGGTGAATTTCGAAGAAGCAAGGCAGGAACGGAGCATCGGGGAAGCAGTGGAACAACATGGGGTGATCAAAATGGGCAAGACCCTAATGCGACCCTGAAGTTCATGTCAGGCTACCGCGCTGATCCCAGCAGGGTAAGAGATTCTGTTATCCACGGGCTTCCAAACATACACAAGAGCAGCGTGCCGTGTCGGCAGTTCGTGAAAAGCCTGGTAGCGGTAATTGGCTACACGTGGTTACATCCATCTTACAAGATACAAAGAACTTCAGAGGAGCTGGGTGTGAAAACATGTTATTTGTCTCGATGCAAAAACAGTTGCAGAAAAATACCACCCTGAGTTATTGGTAAAATTCAACATATTCCGAAAGCATCCTAAGTGTAAATGAAACGAGCAGCATTATGACGTAGGCGTTATAGCTCTGAAACGTAACCATAACATTCTTTATTTTCCTTGCGTGTAATGCGTAAATTCTACCTGTACCACATTCCAACAATGGCAATTTAACCTTGACTGAGGAAAATGTTAACAAATGGGGGGGGGGGGGGGGATAAAAGACTCAGCTGAGCATTTCCAGACAACCCATCGAAGGTGACAACAGCCCGCCACATTCTAAAGAAAGCTGATGAGACCAGAGCTGGCGCACGTCACACAGCACAGGCCTCTGGCAAAATTTGGGACCATGGCTCGAAACACACACTTCTGACGCCAGTTGGCCAA